AAAGTGACACGAGCTGGTAGAGTAGTGCGTTTCCCAGCAAGGTTAGCGGAATTTCGGGATTAAGAGTGGTGTTGTCGACTTAGTTGTGGTGTCGCGTTGTTGCTAGTACTCCATCGCTAGGAGGGGGTACTGTGGCGACCCAGTTGGCTGTGCATTTATTGAATTTAAAAAGTAAAATTCAATTTCAAATATTTTTAAGTTTTTTGTTTTTGATTGAGGAGAACGTTCCGATTTTTCTCTCTGTAAAAAGTTGAATAAAAGTTTATTAACATTGAAAATTTTTAGAGTTTTATTAATTAGCAAGGTGAACAGATCATTGCTAAAGATCCTTTTAAGTAAAATTCGTGTATCTTCTTATTAGTAAAGCACTAGACGTGTAATGATTGATATTGTTCCTTATTTGATTGTGATCCATTTACTTTTTACTTTGCCATTCTACGCATTTCTTTAGTTTGTTCCGTCATAGAGATTTCAGCATGTTCAGCTTTATTAAGCAAAGAATCCAGCTTATCTAAATGTGATGTCATTTTCTTTTGTATATCCATTTTAGCATTACGTATCTTTTCAGTTGGAATTACAGGCTGTATATCAGCATTACTGTTATTCTGTGCCATTTCGTCTAAATTGTTTAAGGCCGTATTAATATCAGTGGAATCCCTCAAACCTTCACCACTTGCCGTAGTGTTGCGTCGACTGGCTGTATTCGAAGTACTTGGCGTAGCATCACTAGCCACGTCCACAGAGCCACCTCTGCTAAATATATTCGACAAACTGCCACAAGCACTTTGCTTAAATCGATTAATTTTTTGCTGTGTGGATGATAGAATACTATTGAGTTCATCTAATTTACCACCTGTATTTTTCAAGCCTTCCTCTTGCTGTGTCAAAAGCTGTAGAGTGTATTCATTGATGTAAGTAAAAAAATAAATAGCCTATTAAAATATTTGCTTACTTCTGCCTCAGCAGCATCCTGTTCCTCTTGTTCTTGTTTGAGGCGTTCAGTACGCTGTTTTTCGAATTCTTCTTGATTTGGTTTATCAATACCTAGCAATTCAGCTCTCATGCATTCATATTCATAAGTGCCTTCCGCCATTTCTATAAGCGTTTATTAACTCAAATGTTTAAATAAAAATATATTAACGTTATTTTTGTATTACTGATGACGTTTTAAATTTTTAAAATCGATTTTATTTTTCACAAACCCAATGCTAATTATGGATTTAACAGTAACATTGAAGGTTTTTAATGTCAAAACCCTGCAGGCGAGTCTCGAACAATTGAGCATGTGCAGTAGCACCTTTTTCAAATAATTGCTAATAAGCATTTAGTAATGCTTTAAATATTTAATTTGGAAAACAAATTATTTTATAATTAATACTATTAAAAATTTATTGTATAATTATTTCCTTTTTAATCCTACAATATTCCAATTAAAGAGCAATGCGAAACTCTGTTTGTATCCTACTTTCAGGGCGCTTTTATTGATCATCGCTGCGCTCATAAATTTGTATATAGGACTCCGTTAGAGTTATCATTTGTGGCAAAATTTCAGTTACGTGTAGGTCCTGCATTTCATACCATTTGCTATTAGCTTTGTGTAATATATGTGCTCTATAAGTGCCTTTTTTAGGTTCACCATCGTGTACTATATTCGCAACCAAATTATATTTTGTATCCTTGATTTGGTCACGATTTGGCATCGAAAGTATGTCGCCGAAGTCCACATTCCTGTTAAAAAATCAAAAATTATTTAAAATATACAAAATTATCTTCACAAGTCACACTTACTTAATTGGAAAATTGACTATAGTTGGGTTCTTTTCCAAAAAGAATGTATTTTTCGTAAAACGTTTTATATATAAAATTATATACTGTGGCAAACGTGTTATTTCAAAACGTTTCAGAAAATTATCCTTATATGTTTTGTACTCCTTCTCTGTTTGACCATTGAATTTTGCCAATAATTGATATAAATTTACTTGGGGTATAATATTCTCCCTAAATTCATCTGTGAATAATGGTGGTGGCGGTAGGTCACACGTTAAATATAAAAAATTGGATTCCTCGCATTTTACTTGATACTCTTCAGTAGCTAGAAGTAGCGCCTTTTGTGTGTCGTCTAAATCCACTGGAGGTATTTTTCTAGTGTAGATTTTCATTTCCCCTAAGAATATTTTATATATAATAGACGAATCAGGTTTTTTGTTACCTTTCATTGCACGATGCAGCGTATGTAGAAACCAGGAAAGGAAGTCTATTGGATCACCTTGTTCAGTGATTTGGAAACGTTTATTAGACCATAAAACCACAGCCTGCAACATTTCATGTGGTGATACATGTGCTTTAAAATTACGTGGATTCCATATTTTACGCATTAACTCACCGAAACGTTGAACCAAATTAAACATAGAATCACCAGGTGGGCGTTTAATGCGGGCGTAACTTTGTTCTCGCAGAAAGTAGTTCCGTAAGGGTCCCACATGTGAAAGTGCATGTAGAACTACATTACAGTAATCATTTGCCTTAATATTATTTAAACCTACTACACCGGGCAAATATAATGTACCGTCAATTGTACGCGAATATTTCGGTTCTGACCGATCTAGATTTCGTATATCCTGTGTGACGAATGTAGGATTTAAGACATATTTGATATCGTCCAAGGACGAATCAATTATCTCATAGTTATCTGGCAGACAGTAAAAACGTAATGTTTGTAAATTAAGAAACACATGATGCGCTTCTGACACAGAATGCGTATAAGCATGTGTATTTGTGCCGCGACCCTGGAAATATTTACCACAAACAAGGCAGGCATAAACGTTAATACGTGTTAGAGAAATTGAACAAAGTTTTTCGAAATCAAAGTCCAGTAAAGGACGATTAATCGTGTCTAAATATGGACAGACGCGATATTTTGGATTAAATGCTGAAGGTGTTTCTAATTCTAAAATAAGTTTATTAAATTAAATAAATACTTTAAAACAATATATACATTATTCAGTTACAAACCATCATCTGAACTTCGTTCCAAACCATTTTCAGTTTTGGTCTTTTTGGGCACAGATCCGCCTGATGCTGTAAAGTTTGGTAAATGTTGTATAAATTATTAAGTTGCAGTACAGAATAGTGGTATATTTACCAATTCTTAATGACATTTTAAAAATTTGGAGCCGGTAAAATAATTGAGAAGTACAACACGCAGCAAACAATAGAAAACAAGATTTTACACAAATCGTCAAATTGTCATCTTCATAATTATAAATCAGTGTTGTAAAATGATAAATTATATCAAATCGGCTTTGACAGCAATAACTAGTGATGCTACAAATTATTTTGATTACTTTAATAGGAATGAATTGTGACAAGCGCAATTGTTGCATGTATAGCAACCAAAATGAATCTGCATCTGAGATATAATTACAATTTTCAGCTTGTGATTTTAAAAAAATTAACATTTGCAAAGTGATTAACAATGTTTAAACAGTCACTTTAAAGAATTTTAAATTTTTCAAATTTCATTCACTTAAACATGTTAATGCATTTTACGATTTGGAGTAAAATAGCCAAGGCTGAGGAGTAAAATTAAAAGAGTAAAAGAAAGAATCTTACATAAATATATATCGCAATGTTGAGAATGCTTATTCATCATTACTTGAAGCAGGTTAAGAGATAGTGGGTTAATATTTGGGAAGGAGACTATGTTATTAACTGAAGTATCCAAATACTTGGTATTAAATTATTTTGCTTTCTATTTCTTTAGTTTTTTTAAAGACATTAAGAAGTATATATATCATATATATCATATTTTTCTGCTGAATAAGTTTCTATGGAGGGCGGAGCATTTATTTTTAACGCTAAGACTGTTCTATTTTCTATGGTTCAACTAATCTTGACATAAAATATGATTTCAGTTGATAGTTTTGTGTGCATATAATGTGCATTTGCTTTTACTCTCAGCACTTACAAATAAAATGAAAGAGAAATAAGAATAGTGCATATGATATATATATATATATATAAATCAAAAATATATTGTTACATATATAGCACTTATATGAAACCAAAGAAGACATCTTTCCAAAGAGCAATAGATGTGGAAAAATCAGATTATACTTACCCCAAATTAATTACATTACTACATCCATTAAAAATAACAAATTAAAATGAACACAAAAGGGAATGTAGATTTTTACATAATTTAGTAAAAAAATCACATGCTATAATTTTAAACTGTTCTTCGCAAAAGCCTAAAAACAATTTACGAAAGTATTTTTATCCAATATTTATTTATTATATGACATTTGTATTAGGTATGTATATATGTATATTGTTTTTGTTATAATTTTCAATTAACAAACAACCAAATTAATAATATAAGATTTTAAAATAGATTTTAATAATTGAATTACATAACTAACATATATATTATAATATAATTTTAATAAATTTATTTTAATAAATTTTGCATTTGTTCAAAATTTCAAAAGTCAATTTACTTCAAAAGGCACATTTAAAGATTGTATATTATATTAAATATTTTTTACTGCTGAAAATATAATATATATAAAATATATAATTTCATAAATGAATCAAACAATAACAATTAGATTGCTTTTAATTGTAAAATATTTTTCAGATTCTATATTACAGTTTAAAACATTTAAGTGATTAGTATTATATTTTATAAACTTATTGTATAATAAAGGTTTTCCATTTAAATTCTGCACCTATATTCAATAGGGATTAACAGCAGCCAAACCCACTCGACCGCCTGAACGAGCGAAAACAGGTTCTGCATAACTGTGACGATAACCTTTATTAAGATTAGAAAGATTTTTACCATTTGAAATAGGCGCTCCATTGCTTGGCGGCGAAGATGGATATTTTTCGGAATGTGGGTGTGCTAAACGTTGTTTTTCATTTGAACGAACAGTATAATCTGAACGATGATCAGAACGAGCATCTGGAGAGTAATCGCGTTTGACATGCTCCCTAATATATTCGCGTGATGAGTCCCTTTTGTGTTCTCGTATTGGTGCAGCATCTCGTGGCGTACTGCGTTGTTCGTAACGATGTTCACGATATGGTTCTCTTGGATATTCACGTATGTCTTTTGGGTCAGAACGCTTGCTAGAAGGTTCTCGCTGTCGATTATCGCGACCATAATCTCTATGATCTCGTGTATCACGTTCACGTTCTCTTATGTGTTCTCTAGAATTTTCGCGTGCAAAATCTGTTCGATCACGAGATTTACTACTTTGATGTTCCCATTGACTACGTGATCTACTAACCGGTGCTGGTGGTGCATCATCTAAATATTCATCATCACTCCAATTGTCATAAGTACGTATTTTATCAGACCGTTCTCTTGAACCATGTCGACGTGATTTGTATTCTGAACCGTCATTTTCATCTGCTAAATCATATCTGCTCCCATTACGTTCCATTGCGCGAAACTTATCTTTTGCATCCTTAAATCGTTCTTTTGGTGAAACATTACTGCTTGCAGATGCTGCATACTCTGACCTTCCTCTATTATATTCTATCTTGTCATCATCGTTCTTTGGATATGACTTGCTACGTTGGCTTACTTTTGTGTGTGCTTCTTCTTTAGTTGAAGGGACAGATTCAGAAACTCCTTCGAATGATTTATAACGCATAGCGGAGGATTTCATCATTTTTTCCATGCTTTGTATGTAAGGTATGCTTTCTGGTTCGCGATAGGGATTGCGTTCGTTACTGCGTGAGAAATGCTCTCGTTCACGTTCACGATCTCGTTCTCGATCGCGTCCGCGTTCATTATCTCGTTCACGTTCGCGCTCACGTTCTCTGTAGCGTTCTTTTTCGCGTGAGATATTTCGATGTTCAGGTTCAACCGGTGCACGTTCTGGTGAGTGAGTGGTGTGATGTACAGCAGCATATTTGTTATGTGTTGGTTGATCAAAAGGTAAATCAGCTGGATCAACATATCGATGGCGACCACCATATCTTTGCACCTCCTCTGCGGCATACGATTTAGTTTGCTTTTTAGAATTGTATTCCAAAAATTTCTGCTTATCTGTTAGATTTTCCTTGCGATAACTAGATGGTGCATGTGGCGGTACTTGATCAATTGAAGGATCAGAATCATCGAAATCTTCAACTTCATTACTTTTATGTTTGGGTCGTTGCTCTAAAGACAATTTTTTATTCAGCAAGCGATTAATTTCGTTATATTTATCAGTATCATGCAACTTAGCATGTTCCCTTGGGGCTGCGTCGTGACGGCGATTATGTTCGGGCTTTTGTTCGGCTTGCATGACACGATTAAATTTTGCATCGTAATCAGCAGGACGCATGATGATGGGCTTAATTTCATCCTCCTTAGACCAAGAAGTAGATGAAGGAGTCTTTGAACGTTGTTCACGTTCATTAATTATTCGGTTTGAGACTATTTTGTCGCGATTGTTGTTATTACTGTTGTTGTTATTTGTAGTTGAACGAGGCACGTATGGTTTAGCTGGTAAATCGCGTAAATAACTATCCTCCGGAGGTTGTATAGCACTTTTACGATTCAGTAGTGGATGATGTGGTATAATTGGTATAGAACGTTCAACAGGTATTTGAGAAGGTTTCAAAGCAATAACAGAGTTATCTGCTTCATTTGACCAGTGTTCATCATCTGGAAAAACATTAAAATATTAAAATATAACATACATTTATGTAAATGAAATTGATGGCTTACCACTTGAGCTATTTAGTTCTTGACGCTCTGGGCTAGGTGCTAAATCAGAACCGATGCCAGATGAACCACGTGATGATACTTGTTTGCCATTTGTAGCTGCAGTTTGCGCTGTTGGAGAATTAACTGTCGGACCGCCCACAATCAATGCATTCCGACAACGACGCAATTCAATTGCTGTTAGATTCCCCTTAGAGCGATGTACGGTATCATAATCACGTGGGGGCAATAACAACGGAGGACCATTGCCATTTAATTTAGCACGCAGCTCGGCAGCTAATGAATCAAATAGTTCATTGGTCGGTTGTGGTAATGGTTTAACGATTGGTGGTGAGCGTGATATTGGTGAGCCGCTGCTATGTTCCTCGCTATATTCGGATTCACGTGTACTGTTGTCACTGCCAAGTGATGAACTAAAACGTTTAGGTGATGTTTCATGCCGACGCTGTTGTTGTGTTTGTTGCCGTTGTTGTTGGTGTTGTGACTGAAAGACTTGCTTCTGGCTGTGTTCGTTGTTGTTGTTAGAAGCGGTTAATTTATTGCTGGACAAAGGTAAAGGTGGCAGTATGCCCAATCTGAAAGTATTGAAATTCATTAGAAAAGTGTAACTGTAATG